ACGGCAGTCAGAAATCTTTCCAGAACTAAACGGCAGCCAGAAAACTTATCTTCAATCCTTCGCTTAAACGAGGTCCTCAAGTGCTGCTTCTATGTCTCATTTCTCATTTGCTTCTGCCTTCTTCTAGTGACTTACAATTTAAAATTGTTTCACTAGACTTTGCTTGTCTTTTTTCTTGTTCAGTGCATCGACGCCAGATTGCACCTGTTTTTGTTTGTGGTGAGGCTTACGCCTCAAAACGTTTTGAGGCTTACGTCTCGCCTCATTACAAAAAAAAGCCTCAGTACCCGTTTACGTTTTTTCAAACTACTTGGCTAGTCATTGATCCTTTTTATTCAATCAACATGGAAGAAACAGTGATACTGATACTCATACACTAAGCTCTGAGTAAACATTAGAAATATACTGTATAGATGCTGGTTATGTCATTCGAGATTATTTTGGGATACTTGTTAATGGTGAAGTTTTGGTGACACGAGAAGGTTGTCTTTTGGCACTGCAAAATAACATCCCCTCGCCATTGTTAGATGTCGATTGCCTGGAAACAGAGCACGACTTTAATCCCAATGGTCCAATTCTTGCTGATATTGCAGAGCTTTTTCTTTATAGTAATTGTGGTCCCTTAAATTCTGTACCGACTGACGGGAATAGGGCTGTCATATGATTGACTCCTTTCAATTTCTACCCCAATTGGCTTTGACTGGGTTGATTGTAACCGCAGTTTTCTTACGTGTGGGTTGATATAATACAATGAGTTTCATTTTGGATTCAAGAAGGAATGAGCAGGGTAAATTTCTAATTTTCAATTAAGCCCCCGTTTGGCATCCGTTTTTTGGGAAAAATTCATTTTTAAACAGTGTATTTATCATTAAAAAATAGAAGCATTCAATTGTTGTGTCAGAGCACACATTCCACTCAAATGACCGTTGAATTACACTTACCAATTTAGGCCTCAAATTAATTTGCAATAGTACACAATATAAGGGCATTTTTGAAATTTAATCTAAATAATTGTACCAGCTTTTGTACCCAAAACCGTGTTGGGAACGGATCCCAGCAGAGTCTGACATGTTGAAAGACATTGGGGCCCACACATAACGCAAGTTCCTGTTCAAAAATGGGAAAAAAAGGGGTGCCAAACGGGGGCTAAGTTTTAAGAATGTTAGAAAATCAAGTAATAAAACTTGTCCGTGAATTTAGTATGTTGATGGTTGGAGAGAGAATTAAGATGATCTATTGTATTCAAGTTGATGAAAATGAGCTATCATTCAAGAAAAGGCTAAAATTACTTTGGGCTTCTGGGTTGATCTGGACAAGAATTGTGTTTGTTAGGCTTGAATGAAGGGAAAAATTTACAGTTCAGGTGTTTACTATTCCAAAATTAAAACTCAGGCCCCAAAGTTTACAATTACAAAAATCAGGTTTTTCTTCAATTAATTAATTATATTTCAGAATTATTATATTAAATTAAATATTGAACTGTAATATAATAAAATTAACCCACCCCACCCCCCGTTGCTCCGACGACTACTCCGACAGCACTTTAATTCCGGCGACTGCTCCGATCCGACGACTTTTTCGAGGTCACAAATCAAAAAATCTGTAGGTCACGGGTTATTTCGAGGTCACAGATAAAAATTTTTGTAGATCGCAGATTATTTCGAGGTCACAGATTCTTTTTTTAGTTACAAATTGTGAATTTCAAAATCACAGCTCAATAGTAAGGTCACAGACACCCAAAAAAATCCCACAACATTTCAATAGTTAAGTCACAGACACCAAAAACAACCCACAATAGTTCAATAACTAGGTCACAGACGCTTAAAAAAATCCACCACAGATCAATAGCTTGGTCACAGACACAAAAAAAAAAAATCACAAGAGTTTAA